AGTCCGGTCTCCGCGATAAGGGTGTGAGTGGCTCCCGTCTTCCCTGAGGAATTGGTGAGGACACCGAGCACACAGCAGGGACTTGCCTGAGGCTGCACGCAGTGAAGACCCTAGATCAGTCCAGGTCTCCTGGCTGCAGACCCTGGCCACCTGCCCCTGGCAGTGCCCTGTACCGCTGACGGGCAAGGGCCCTCAGCCCTGGGGGGCGCCGGAAGCCGCAGAGCACCGTGAAGACTGGTCTAGTGTGTGGCTGGGCAGGTCTGGGGAAAGCTCCCCTGCCAGGATGGGGCTGAGAACTACTGCTGGGGTCCCCTCCCCGAAGACAGGTAGGTTCTGGCCACCATCCTTGTTCTACAGAAAGCTCAGCAGGCCCATGACCAGCTATGCATAAATTTTTTTAAATATTTAAACTCTGAAAACCAGTAACAACTGGTCACTCATGGGACTATGTTTTCAAATGAGCTTCGAACTGAAGGCCCAGGTGGCACGTTGGAATCAGGGTAAGGTCAGCACACAGGACCGAGAAAGGCCAGGGAAAGGGGGTCCCAGCCCAGGTCCAGAGCGAACCCCTCCCATGAAGGCACAGCACCGGCCTATCAGGTTATGCCAGTCCTAGAATGGCTGAGAGCCAGAGCTCTCGCCACATCAGCGTAGGGCAAGCTGTGGGGTCTGATTTGTGCTGGCCTGGATGAGAGACCAGAGATGGAGCCAGCCCCCCGCAACTCCCCACCTCTGTGCTGAGCCTCAACTGGGACAGTGGCCTCCAAAGGGAAGTCCAAGGCCAGGGCTGCCTCCCAGGACCTTACCTCTTAAATCACCATCCACCCCTCTACCCCTACCCCCACCCCACCCCGTGTGGGCATGGCTGACCAGAGCAGCCTCTGGAGACCCCTGGATTAGTCCTTGAGCATCTGTAAGAATTTTAACCCCTAAGAGAGGGGGAGGGAGCGTGTCTTTCAGTATGAAAGTCCAGCTGTGTCTACTGAGGCTGCTATTTTGAAATAGGTCATCCTGTTCACCCACAAACACCTCAGTCAATCAGTAACAGGTGACTGAGCATGACTGGGCTCGCAGCTCTGGCCCCGCCCCTGTAGCCTGGGAGCACTCCTATTGTGACGGGCCAGATTTCCCATTTGTACCCGCACTTAGCCTCTGCACCACGGCCACAGGGAACCTCGCTGCTGACCCTTCAGGATGCCTCTGGGGTCTGTTTGACCCCTCACCCGCGACCTCCGAAGAGGCTTGCATCTGCCTGGGGACAGGAGTCAGCACTGAAGGCCCTGGACCTTGGGCCCCTGTCTAGGTGGGCCCGTTCTCACCCTTCCACCACCCCACTTATTTTTCCCATCTGCCAAGCTCCAACGGACTTCCAAAATCACTCATCTACAGAGAAAACACATGGAAATGCTAACATGGATAAAGATGGAGCAAAAGCCAAGAACAGGAAACACAAAGGAAAGGAAAAGACGTTCACTGTTCCCTCTGCAGCTTGCCCTGCTGCTCTGCCAGCACACCTCGTGTCCTAAGGGCTTGCAGGGCTTTGGGGCTGCTGATAGAGGAGTGTATTCAGGGCTTTCCTTTCCATCAGGGCCAAGAGAAAGTGAAGTTGTAAATGTGGGAACAAGAAGGGCACCCCATTTATCTGAGTTCTCAGATCCCACAGGGCTAGCAGAAAAGGAGGTATTCTGCTCACCAAGTGTCTGCTCATGTACTTTTTTAAACCTCTTTATACTAGAATGTATTTTTTTAAACCTCTGTACTAAAATGTCTTCATTTGATCTTGATCCATGGAAAATGTTAGGATTAGATTCAGCTGAATACAGCAAAAATCTGACTACAGTGGTTTAAACACAGGAAGATTTAATTTTGAAAGCAAGCATTTCCAGGCAGAAACAGCAACTTCATGAAGTCATCAGACCCCAGGCTTCTTCTGTTTTTCTCTTCTGCCACATGTGGCTTCTTTTCTTAGAGTCAACTCAAGGAACAATATGGCTGCTGCAGCTCCAGCTGTGACATCCACATTCCAGGCAACAGAGAGAAGCAGCAGGGGGATGTGAGATAGGCAGCCCCTCCCTTTAAAGGAGACTTCCCAGAATTCCCACAATGTATTTTCATGGACATCTCTTTGGTAGAATACCACATGAGGGCCAAGAAGGCCCAGAGGCTGGAAAAGACAGTCCCTGAGATGGGCAATCTCCACCCCAAATAAAATTGGACTTCTATTACTCAGAAGGAAGGGGAGGGTGGGGATTGGGGTGTGCACCCGCAATCTCTCACAAGTACTCACTATCCTAATGAGAAAACAGTTGTCATGATATACCCTCCTCTGTCTCCCAAGTGAACGTGAAGAGTCAGAGCTGTAGCTGCCGGCAAGAGCAGTTTCCAAGGTGTGTGAGGAGGCTGATGAAGGCAAGTGCAGTTGGGGGAGCACTTGCCTGTGTTTGTGGTGCAGTTTCTGCACCCTCAGCCCTGTCTGCTAACCAGTCAGTAGTGAGCAGATATTTACCAGCACTTACTTTGTGCGTGCAACCCTGAGCTTGAAGCTTGCACCATTTGTAGGACTTGTACTTGAAGTCAAATGCTGCTTCTGACTGCTTTGCCACCTCCTCCACCCCTGAATTAATCTGCTCAGGCTCATAATAAAATACTGCAGCCTGAGTGGCTTCAACAACATCATTTTTTCTCACAGTTCTGGAGGTTGGAAGTCCAAAATCAAGGTGTTGCCAGGGGTGGTTCCCTCTGAGGCCTCTCTCCTTGACCTGTGTCCTCACGCAGTCTTCTCTCTGTGTGTGTCTGGGTCCTCACATCCTTTAGGACATCAGTCAGACTGGATTAAGTCCCACCCTAATGACCTCATTACATGACTGGGCTCGCAGCTCTGGCCCCGCCCCTGTAGCCTGGGAGCACTCCTATTGTGACGGGCCAGATTTCCCATTTGTACCCGCACTTAGCCTCTGCACCACGGCCACAGGGAACCTCGCTGCTGACCCTTCAGGATGCCTCTGGGGTCTGTTTGACCCCTCACCCGCGACCTCCGAAGAGGCTTGCATCTGCCTGGGGACAGGAGTCAGCACTGAAGGCCCTGGACCTTGGGCCCCTGTCTAGGTGGGCCCGTTCTCACCCTTCCACCACCCCACTTATTTTTCCCATCTGCCAAGCTCCAACGGACTTCCAAAATCACTCATCTACAGAGAAAACACATGGAAATGCTAACATGGATAAAGATGGAGCAAAAGCCAAGAACAGGAAACACAAAGGAAAGGAAAAGACGTTCACTGTTCCCTCTGCAGCTTGCCCTGCTGCTCTGCCAGCACACCTCGTGTCCTAAGGGCTTGCAGGGCTTTGGGGCTGCTGATAGAGGAGTGTATTCAGGGCTTTCCTTTCCATCAGGGCCAAGAGAAAGTGAAGTTGTAAATGTGGGAACAAGAAGGGCACCCCATTTATCTGAGTTCTCAGATCCCACAGGGCTAGCAGAAAAGGAGGTATTCTGCTCACCAAGTGTCTGCTCATGTACTTTTTTAAACCTCTTTATACTAGAATGTATTTTTTTAAACCTCTGTACTAAAATGTCTTCATTTGATCTTGATCCATGGAAAATGTTAGGATTAGATTCAGCTGAATACAGCAAAAATCTGACTACAGTGGTTTAAACACAGGAAGATTTAATTTTGAAAGCAAGCATTTCCAGGCAGAAACAGCAACTTCATGAAGTCATCAGACCCCAGGCTTCTTCTGTTTTTCTCTTCTGCCACATGTGGCTTCTTTTCTTAGAGTCAACTCAAGGAACAATATGGCTGCTGCAGCTCCAGCTGTGACATCCACATTCCAGGCAACAGAGAGAAGCAGCAGGGGGATGTGAGATAGGCAGCCCCTCCCTTTAAAGGAGACTTCCCAGAATTCCCACAATGTATTTTCATGGACATCTCTTTGGTAGAATACCACATGAGGGCCAAGAAGGCCCAGAGGCTGGAAAAGACAGTCCCTGAGATGGGCAATCTCCACCCCAAATAAAATTGGACTTCTATTACTCAGAAGGAAGGGGAGGGTGGGGATTGGGGTGTGCACCCGCAATCTCTCACAAGTACTCACTATCCTAATGAGAAAACAGTTGTCATGATATACCCTCCTCTGTCTCCCAAGTGAACGTGAAGAGTCAGAGCTGTAGCTGCCGGCAAGAGCAGTTTCCAAGGTGTGTGAGGAGGCTGATGAAGGCAAGTGCAGTTGGGGGAGCACTTGCCTGTGTTTGTGGTGCAGTTTCTGCACCCTCAGCCCTGTCTGCTAACCAGTCAGTAGTGAGCAGATATTTACCAGCACTTACTTTGTGCGTGCAACCCTGAGCTTGAAGCTTGCACCATTTGTAGGACTTGTACTTGAAGTCAAATGCTGCTTCTGACTGCTTTGCCACCTCCTCCACCCCTGAATTAATCTGCTCAGGCTCATAATAAAATACTGCAGCCTGAGTGGCTTCAACAACATCATTTTTTCTCACAGTTCTGGAGGTTGGAAGTCCAAAATCAAGGTGTTGCCAGGGGTGGTTCCCTCTGAGGCCTCTCTCCTTGACCTGTGTCCTCACGCAGTCTTCTCTCTGTGTGTGTCTGGGTCCTCACATCCTTTAGGACATCAGTCAGACTGGATTAAGTCCCACCCTAATGACCTCATTCTAATTTAATCACCTGCTTAAAGACTGTATCTCCAAATAAGTTGGCATTCTGAGGTGCTGGGGGTAAAGGTTTCAACACAGAAGTTGGGAGGGGGAATGTAATCCAAAGCCTTGACTGTTGTCACCATTCTCAATGTATGACCATGTTAATAACTTAATGGAACTACATATGCTTCAGTATTTCTGAAAATCATTTCCTCTAATCCTCTCTATTTCACCAGAGCACAGGAATATTCATATCTGCATCAAATGACTGGTTCCCAGAAGTTGTAATAAATGGAGCTTCAGTGCCTCAAAAGATGAGGGCATTCCACTCCCAGGCTTTGGGGGCTTCTAGAAAAACAAATGGAGTAATTTTAGGGGATCTGTCATTTTCTGGTTGAGCATTTTCCTAGATAAGCATGGGGGCTCCCATTTTGGACCATCTATCCTAAAATAAGTCTACCACTGACGTTGAGCTTCCTCTTGAGCTTTCCAATCTGCCACAGCTGGGGCTGCTCAGTCAGCTCCATCGTCTTGGCTTCCTCATGGAAAGCCCGCCAGTAGGCAGACCTCCAAATCCACGGAATGCTGACATGGCTCACCTGGCGGGCCCTTAAGACCTGAAGTCGAAGGCTGGCATCATAGAATCATGCCAGCATTCCATGCATGGCAAATATCGGGAAGGAAATGGACAGAAGCCACATTGTAGGGTAAAGGAGAATGTTCCACACTCCACAACTTAGGGGCCAGGTGGCACCAAGACCAGCGTCAGCCAAGACATCCAGAGCTGGGGAAAGGCCAGGTCAGCCCACTCCTGGAGGCCTGGCATGGCGGCCTCTTTCCTCCGAGCTCACCTTCCCCTGAAGGCCCGGCCCAACCTGCCACTGTATCGTCACAGGACAGAAGCTTAGGGACAGGCAGCAGGCTCTTTCCAGCCTTTCCTACCCTTGGAGCAAAGAGCCCTGGAGTCAGAGGTGTGATTCTGACTCTGTCGCTTCCCCGCCTGGGTGCACCCAACTCCCCATCTGAAATGTGAGCTGGAAGGCCTCCAAGTTTTTCTTTACCTCCAAAGTCCTGTGACTTTCTTGGGAACCAAGGGGAACTGATTTACTGACCAGCCTAGTGGGGTGCGACTGTGCCATTCTAACCAGGAGGCCCATGCCTGCCGTGTGCCAGCCTGGCCCACAGGGAAGACTGGTCACGTGCTCTGGCCCTGGTTTAGCCAAAGACAGCTCAGTGCTCCCATCTTCCTCAGCCTCTGCACGTCACGCAGCAAAGCATGAGCTATGACGGAGTACCAGGGAGAGGGTGCCCTTCTTCCTCTTCTCAAAATGTGTACACTTACGTATGCTTTTTAATGTTTCAGTTCGTGAGAGACTAAGAAATGCATGTGTCCTGTACTCTCCGGCTGATTAAAGAACAGCTTGACCTGAGAAATGGAAATTTTAAGGTGCTTACAGGGCCTGGAAAGAAATTCAGAAACCAATTTGAGTGCAGAATCAAAATACCATCTGGGTTTTGGTGACAATGAGTAACACTGCTGGCTCTTCAGAGAGCAATTACATGAAAAAGGATTTTTTTGTAAGCCTCCACTGCTAAAATGGTAAAGATGTTTAATGATGAATAGATACAAAAATGATCCCAGCAGCCATCTGAGCACACCTGGTACACAGGATGTCCATCAGGCCTGGAAGCAGGGCTTGATTATACAGTATGTCACCAAGGCCATCTCAACCTGGAGAAGTGCAGAAAGTCTCATCTGTGTGTCCAGAGTTTATGGTCACCTCACATACCCAGTAATGGAGGCAGTGGGAGGAAGGCCATGGCCACATACCATAGGCACGTACTCAAAATACTTGAACTCTTAACTCAAACCATCATGGGCAATGGGGGTGCCTGTGTTTCTTGGGCCCCATGTCTTAGGCTTCACTGAAGACTCCTTTTTCTCCTTAAACCAGGCCAACTAGAATTCGCTCCCCACGAAGTGTCTCAGCCTGAAGACCAGACAGCCCAGGTCCTCAGGCCATCCACCTCTGCCAGTTCTGGGGTCTCAGCTGCTCAGATCCATCCCTAGGCCAGCTCTGCAGGAACAAAGGTTTCTCTTTTCAAAGCTAAAGCCACATCCCCTGGGGAGGCCACCACCCACTGGGCTACCCATTGTTAATACTGGAGACTGGAGGTTGAGTAGGGCATGGAGATCTCTGCCTCATGTATGCAGGAAGCCGAGGACCTTTCTGCATGTGTGGCTATTAACAGTAAGAGCTCACGGTCGGTCGGTTGCTGAGCCCTTATATGTGCCAAGCTCAGGCCTAAGTGCTTTCTCTGTTGTTTCACTTAAAAATAATCACTCAACAGTTAGACTCTTTCCCACATGTAAAGCCACAAATCCTTGACCTTCATATACTACCTGGACACCAGCCTGCTCTCTGTGCCCCAGCCCCACCCATACACACATTCCTGCTATCCTAACTCCTTTCCCAGAATTCTTGAAGCAATGTAATCAGGCTGCCAGCTCTACGGCCTCCCCAGAACAAGTCTCAAGGTCACCAGTGACGACCCTGTTGCTCAACACTGCTCTCAATTCTCAGTCTTCCTCTTCCTTGACTCTGGAGCATTAGATGCTGCGGATCACTCCCACCTTCTAGAACACTTGTTTACTGAGCACTCCTGGCCTGTATATGGATAGGCCTTTGTGTGGATGATAAACTGCTGCTCTGGGCAGATGCAGCTCTGTGAGCATCCACCATGAGCAGAGCGAAGGCTGCCCCCTTTGCCTGGAGTTTATACAGGGCAGTCCCGCAGGGCCCCAGGCTGAGGGTGCACCTGATAGTGAGAAGTCAGAAGCACAGGACAGGAAGTGCAGCAGGCCCAGAAAGGGAAGGAGGGCAGGACAAGGTTCCCAGAGGGAAGGATCAGAATGGAAGAGTAGAGGGGCATGTCCTCCACGGGGCTAGGGACTTTCCACCGATCTCTCCCCAAGAATCCCACCGGTGCTTATGGGAGAGCATATTCTTATTTTTAGGAAACACACTGAAGGATTTTGGAGCAAGTTTCATGATGTATGCAATCTGCTTTCAAAAGACTCGGACCCACACAGATGCAGACATGCACAGAAGAGACAAATGTCAGATGGGGCAAACCTGAGACAGATGGGCTGGGGTCAAAGGTACATGAGTATTCTTTGTACTCTTCCTGTATTGCAGCTTTCCTGTAAGTTTCAAGTGATTTCCATCTAAAATGCTCTTTTAAAAAAGAAGCTAAAGCACTAAATTATGTTTTCTACCTTTATCTTGCATCTACCTACCACTTCAGCATTTTATTAAAAACAAAAAATAAAAAAAAGGGAGAAATGTGGGATTCACATATAAATCAAGTATAAAAATCAAATGAATAATCATATCTGACTTGATTGTTTATAGTTCACGATGTGTGATCAAAACCGAAAGTTTCTGTGATATGACTGCCCTTGCACCGTTCACCATGTAAGAACTTGTTCTTAATGCTTCAGAAGATTGGAGACTGTTGAGGATTAGGCTTGGGGTTGATTAATGATTGTGCATTGAGTCCCCTATACAGAATTTTATTGCTGTTAACAACCATTTGATCAATAAATATGACAAATGCCCTCTCAAAAAAAAAAAAGAAGCTAAAGGCAACACTATGGAGATGGTACAAAGATCAGTGGATGCCAGGGACTGAAGAGGCAGAGGGTGAACAGGAGGAGCAGAGGGTTTGAGAGCAGTGAAACTTCCCTGTATGGCGTGGAATGTTGATCCTACGATGGTGGATACCTGTGACCACACATCTGCCTAAATTCACGACGTGCAGCCCCCAGGGAGCCCCTAAAGGAGAGCATGGACCCTGGGCAGCAGTGTCGGTGCAGGTCCATCAGTCAAGGCGAGGCCCCACCCTGGTGGGGGTGTTGACAATGGGAGAGGCTGGTATACAGGTATTTTCTGTACCTTCCCCTCAATTTTGCTGTGAACTTAAAACTGTCCTAAAAAAATTCAGTATTGAAAATAAAAACAGGAGCAGCAGCTGAACCTGTATGATGCCAAGTTAACCTGAGGCACCTACAGTCATGAAACCCCAACGGGCAGCAGTCCAGGGCCTTGTTCTCTCCACGACCTGCAACCGACCAGCTCCTTGGAGGCCCAGGTGCCCTGACACTTCACCTAAGCACCTGCCCCACCATGGGGGCCTCAGGGTGGAGCCCCGGCATACGGGGATGCTGTGATATGACCAGGAGGCAGAGGTCAGAGCGAGGCAGCCACAAGCCAAGGAGTGCTGGCACCCACAAAGCTGGGAGAGACAGGAAAGACCCCACCCGAGCGCCTTCCGAGGGGACACAGCCCGGCGACACCCTGACTGTGGGCTTCTGGCCCCCAGACTGAGAGAGGATAAAGTTCTATAGTTTAAGCCTGCAGCAGGACCACAGAAGCGAGTACAGGCAGGCAGAGAACAAGCACATGCCCTCAGAGTAATGACCTTGCCGGGAACCTAGATTCTGAAACATGCCATCCTTCACACCTAACTGGTACTCTTGGGGTGATCACATCTGCTGGGCACCCAGTCACTGTCTGATAGCTTAGGCTTGGGTAATGCCATCCTTCAACAGCCCAGGGGGAGACCAAGGCATAGAGAAGTTAAGTAACTCATTTGTGGACACACAGCTCAACCCTGGCGGGACCCAAATGTGCATAGACTTGGACCCAGAGCCCCTGTCCTAAGTACTGACACTGCCTGTATTTGTTTCCTACGGCTGCTGTAACGAATGACCACATATGGGGGGCGAGGTGGACTCAGTTCTGGAAGTCAGAACCCCAAAATCGAGGTGTCGGGAGGGCCAAGTTCCCTCTGAAGACTCTAGGGAAGGATCCGTCTGTGCCTCTCCCAGTTTCTCATGGCAGCTGGCAATCCCCGGCTTTCCTTGGCTGCAGCTGCCTCCCGCCAGTCTCTGCCTCTGTCCCCACTGGGCATCTCCCAGCACAAACGTGTGTCCAAATCTCTCCTTATAAAGACACCAGTCCTTGGATCTGGGCCCACCCTGTCTAGTCTGACCTCACCTTAACTGGATTCCATCTGCAAAGACCCAATTTCCAAATAAGGCCCCACTCACAGGTTCAGGGAGTCAGGAAGTGGACAGATTTGGGGACACTATTCAACCCACAGTAAGACTGCACACCTGCCCCTCAGGTGCTTCAGGCAGGCAGCAGAGCAGTGCCCCAGGCCTCCCTGAGGGCCATGCCCGGCTGACTCCCAGACAGAAAGCCACCTGAATGCAGGTGCAGTGGGAACAGAGGGGACTGGGGGTTCTGGGAAAGCAGGCTGCACGCCCCTGCACCACCCGGGGTGCAGCCTTGTCCACCCCTTCAACTGAACCTCTGGATCTGCACACATCCTCTCCGCAGCCGTGGTTTCCTTCCCAGGCTCCAGGGTTACTCCTGATGAGACCGTTTGCCACCTAGCACGATGTGAGGACTTGAAGGGGAGACTTGGGGAGACGTGAATTCACTCACTGGCAGCTACTCAGTAAGCACCTACTGTGTGCAAGTGATGGCCCAGAGCCACACAAACCTCCAGATCAGCCCTGAAGTGTACCATCAGCCACCCTGCTCTCTCTCTGCTTCTGCCAATCCCTTCCTTTTCCCAGCCCAGCTTCCTGCAGCTTCCTGCCCCCACCCATGCCTGCTCCAGGCCTGCCTGCTCTCAGCCACCCTGTGCAAGGGGCAGACTGCCGGTCCACTCTACACCTCTGACCATGAGGCCCACACCTGCCTGGCTCTGCCCGCAGCCATCACAGCCTGCAATGGTCACCTCGCTGAATCCAAACCCCATCCTGCCCCCAACACCAACCTGAGTGCACCCTGCCCCAGCTTCCTCCCTACCCTCACCTCCCACTCTCCTCCTCCTGCATCCCTCATCTAGTCACTGTGGCAGGCACAATGCTAAACCCTGGGGCTGCATGTGGGAGCCCCACCTGTCCACCTCGGCCCTCACCACTGTTGGGCTCCAGCTGGGTCCCAAAGCCCCCAGTTCCAGAGTGTACCCAGGCCCCTGTGTCCCCACAAAGCTCCCTACAGAGTGCCCCACAGCCCCACAGTGCTCCCTAGTGCCAGCACAGTATACCCCACAGAGCTCCTCACAGCTCCATAGTGCTCCCCACAGCCAGCACGGTGCACCTGACAGAGCTCCACAGACAGCACAGAATTACGGTCCCCCAGAGCTCTCCACGGCCCCACCATACTCCCCACAGCCAGCACAGTAGGCCTCCGCCACCCGGCACATGTTCTTACATGCTCGTGGAATACCTGAGTCAAGTCACTGAATAGTCAGAAGGAGTCAAACATCACCTGTGCTCCTAACCCTGCTACAACCGGCCATCTGGTCCCACCTCCTGGTGGGGGAGGATGTGCAGTCATCAGTTACCATAAGTGCCCCGGAGAAGGGAAGGTGACTTAGAAGGGAGCCCAGAGAGTCTCTTCTGCTCTACAAAAGGTAAATCTCATCCGACCCACAAATACCAATGGAGCCCTGCCCTGGGGCCAGGCTCCCACCTGCCCAGCACCCCCACACTGAGACATGAGACAAACCAGGGGGCATGGGCTGTGGCCTTGCAGCACTCACTGGCCCAGCGTGGCAACAGTCGTGGGTGCCCGCAGCCCAGCACTGCCTTCAGGAGAGGCTGATCGAGAACCCAGGTGTTGCTCCATGGGAGGATCAGAGAAGCAATACCCAACCTGGCCCTTGAAAGGTGGACTAGGGTTTTGCTCGCCCGCCCTGGAGGAAGACGATACTGTGGAGATCAGCAATGCCCCCATTTGTGGACAAGAAAACTGCAGGTTACAGAGGTTGTAACTTGCCCGCAGCCATCCAGTTATTAGGACCAAGAGCTGGCACTTGAACCCAGGACTGATAACCTCACTATCATGCTCTCAGCATCAAGTATCTGCCTCTCAGTGCCCATCTTTATAAAGAGAGAAAAATGGACACCATGTGTATTGTAGTGGCTGCGTCTCAGGTGCATAGGCCATGGTTAGCAACATCACTACAGCTCATGTTTTCATGCCCTCTAACAATAGCACTGCCATTTTTCATCTTTCTTAATTTCAGAATTAAACCCTGCTTTCTCAGCCATCGAGGGAAGCTTGTTTATTGTATGATTGTTAACAAGTCTCAGACTTGACCGCCTTTCAGTTTCAATTAACATTCTCCACAATAGCTCAGCTTTGGTATGACATTTTGTTTCTATAGCATATTTGGTGATGAGACACTGGTATGAGTTTTGCTCATTGCCTCTTCATATTTTTGTACATATGTGGATAAAATGAAGGATTCTCACCTGGCTCTGGTTGGCTAGCTCACTACACATGTGTGGGCAATACATTGTTACTGACTCCATATAAAGAGCTCTATCCAGTGCTCTGGGTGACATGGTGGCATGGCTGCAAGACTGTAAGATTGCAGAGCAGAGGCTGGAGTGGTGGCAGCCTCAAGGACAGAGGCCCAGAGGACGGCTGTGGGGGCAGAGAGGCCCAGAGGAGAGGCAGAGACCAGCTTGCTGCATGCAGACTCTCTGAGCGAATGGGATTTTAGTGATTGACCTGCCACCATGGAAATAAAGTTGGGTATAACCCTTTCACCCCAAGAATGTTCTACTGTCATTTCTTTGGTCACATTGAATCCATAGTGAACTTGCCTGGGGCTGAAACCCATTGGCAAGACAACATATTTGGCCTCATTTCAAACATCACCTGAGCAACGCTATCCTCGCGATTAGCTTATACCTGCTGAAACAAGTGACAGTTCTTACTAAATCATAATTGTCTCGATGGCCGTGTAGATTTTTTGCACCTAAGCCCAGGAGAGACCAATAATAGACAACAAAAGCAGTGAGGCCCTCTTCTTGCAGCACCAGGAGAGGATTTTAGTTTTAACACAATTCTGATGAGCTAACTTCCAGACCCAGGAGAAAGAGCACAGTGCTTACCTGTAATTATTAGGCTGCTGACAATAGTGGTAATAATATCTTGACAGCCATGCCATCATGATTAAATCAATCACTTCAGTCTGCAAGGGGACATCCAAATCTGAAAAGGAAATCACATTTCAGAGGCATTGCCCAAACATTTTTTCACCCTTACCTTCCTATCGCATACTCCAACACTGGATTTTCTAAATTTAATTTTTTTGTAAGTCAAAAATCTGGGGAATATTTCCAAGCCTTATTTGAAAATTCCAGACTTATGATAGTCAGCAATATGTCAAATGAATTATATAGGCAGACTTGGGGAAATCTCAGATGACATCATGTAGTTCTCGGTCACTGGTCATCACCCCCTATCAGTTTTCAAAGTTTTGGAATTTCGACATAATTTGCTTACCTTAGAAAGCCTAAAAGGAGCAGGGTATCTATTTAGAAGTAGTAATTTTGCAGATATCAGGGAACCAGTCAGTGTACCAAATCAACTGAGTCACATTTAAAGGAGGTTGGGGGTAGCGGGAGATGGCTGCTCTCTCATGGAGATAATAGTTGAAACCATTTGACCTGGTTTAATGAGAGTGCTTCCTAAGCAAACCTTAAGTTCTTTAATGTTTTATCAGGTCTAGCTCTAAAATCGGCATTTTAACATAAATTTTGGGCCAAATGTTTATTAAGATGTTTAAATGTGCCAGATTTATAGCATAAAATACACTAAATATCAAAATGGATATTGGGGGTGCTTAAGTGCAGAAAGTACTTTTAAAGTCAATTTACATGCATGTTCATATTTGTCTTCACAAGATGGCACATGTTCAAGACGAAGGTCAACAAGGCTGACTCTTACTAAAAGATTAAGGGTAAACTCTAAAGTCTCCAAGATTTAGAGAGAAAAAAAGGAAGGAAACAAAAAAAACAGTCATATCTTTGGTCTTTTAAAAATAGCTCCTGGGTCAGATACGTTTAGTCGGCATTTTTAACTATTCATTCTGTGCTCAGAACCACATGAACTTGATGTTCACACTGAACAAATGTGCTCAGTTGTTTACAAGTGTCCTTTTAAGAGAAAGGCAGAGGGAGAGTTGACACACAGAAAGCAGTCATGTGGCCACCAAGGCAGCAGAGGCCAGAATGCATGGCACTCCCACTTGAGGCCCCGCAGTTCTCAGCTCTAGGTAGGCAGAGGTGAGGCCCACGGCAGGGAAGGGGTCCTGGCAGGAAAGCACAACAGCACGTGCACAGTGTGTACAAAGCTCCACCAAACCCAGGCAGAGGCTGAGCAGGCGACAGGGAGGGAGGTGGAATCCTGGAGGCAGTAGCGAGAGCCGACAAGGTGGCATTATCCAAGTAAAACCCTGTGTGCAGAGAGGGGAAGTGGGATAGCTCTGGGGAGGGGACAACGCACAAGATGCCCAGAGCATGGCTGGTTGAGGGGTGTGCGCCTGCGTGGGTGTTGGCGGACAGGCATGATTAGAGGCGGGCCAAGTCGTTGTCCAGCGGGTCCCATTATGGACTTTTAAATGTTATCCTTCGAGCAACTGAGAGGCATCAAAAACTTAAGTGAGGGAGTGGCATGACACATTTTGCTCTAGAAAAAGATCACTTTGCAAGTGAGTGGATTAAAAGGGAAACACCTGGAGGCTAGGAGAGCCATCTGGGAGCTACTGGGCTGAAAGTGGTTCCAGCATCAGGGAAAACATTCAGAGGGCTGATGGACCTAAGTCAGTGACAGGCTGACCACTGGAGATGAGGGAGGGGCAGCGAGGGTGCCCAAGTTCTTGGCCCAGACAGCTGGGCTAGTGTGCTGGGGTGGGTGGACTGTGCTGGGCAGGGAGGCTGAGAACCAGAGGTCAGGTAAGAGCAGGAAATTCAGGGGAGTGAGGCATCACCGAGGCAAGCAGGGTTGAGGAAGGAGTTGATAAAGGGAGTCACAACTGAAAGACTGAGAGTCTGCTGGATCTGGCCGGCAGGTCCGTTTCAGTTAGTGCTGAGAGCCTGATTACACGGCTTCAAGTGGCAACACCAACTGTGCCTTCCGCGGGCAGCTAGACTGGGGATAACAATACTCGCTCACCCACCCTAACCACAGGGGCCCCTGCAACTCAAGGCCCTTAAAAGATGTAAATCCCTAAGGCATGCTGCTTTCTTTTAAGCACAGGGCCACTTTTTGTTTTACCACCATTCAGCTCAAAATATAAGAATGCTTTTTGATGTTTTTAAATACCTATAGGAAAAAAAATTTAGGCCCAAGATTCTTCTTTTGAGATTAAGAGTCCTCTTAAAAAACAGCCAACACGTTTTTAATTTTTATCAACCGAATGCAGTATTTATTATACATATGCCTCAAACATTCCGTAAATTATTTTACCCAGGGTTCATGTGCATAAATTCGACTTTTAAAAATTACACTTATTTGAAAAGTCATCTTTGAAGTATTAAACACGATTTTTAAAATCCAGAAACTTAGTTGTCTGTCCTAAAATTATCGTTTATGAAGGCAATCTCCTCCCACTCCCATCTGATCTGTTCTGGCTCTGGGGAACCCCACATGTTCCGTTTAGCTCGTCTAACAAACCCTTTCTTTAGACGTTGGCATTCTTGTTACACTAATATTCTGGTTTTGATTCAAAGTGAGCGTTGCAATTAATGAACTTGTATTCGTTCAAGAAAACGAACAGCCTAAGAAGTACAGAAGAACTGGCATTAGAGAAAGTGGCCGTTTAGCCTGTGCTACTAAAGGGGCGGTGTTTGTGAACACACGGCGGACGAGCCGAGGACCGGGCGGCCGTCACGACCTGCTCACCGGAACCACCCGGGCCTGTCTCCTCCAGCTCACTCGCAAACGGGGTGCCGGGGCCACCTCCCGGGGAGGCAATGTTAGTGCTCCGGGCCACTTAGCTGAGCCGAACCGTCCCGACGCGAGCCTCCAGCGCAGAGCACCACGGGCGCCGCCGCCCCCCGGCCCCGCGCGCTACCGTCAGGGAGAGCCGCCCTCAGGGCTGTGAGGACGCCGAACCGTGCGGCAGCCCCACCGGGGCGCGTGTCCTCGCGGCGGCCCTGGCGCCGGGTTCCCGCCTCCCTCGGGGCCGCCCGCGGGGCGCGGGGTGCGGGCAGGGCAGGAGGCGGCGCCGGGAGGGCGCGGCAGACGCGCGGAAAGGGTGCAGGGAGGAAGCGCGGGGGACGAGCGGCGCCAGGCCGCCGGAAGACGGGTGCGGGTAGACGCGCGCCGACCCGCGGAAGGCGGACGCGGCGGCGGCAGCGCTCCCGTCAGAACAACCTGGCCCTTGAAAGGTGGACTAGGGTTTTGCTCGCCCGCCCTGGAGGAAGACGATACTGTGGAGATCAGCAATGCCCCCATTTGTGGACAAGAAAACTGCAGGTTACAGAGGTTGTAACTTGCCCGCAGCCATCCAGTTATTAGGACCAAGAGCTGGCACTTGAACCCAGGACTGATAACCTCACTATCATGCTCTCAGCATCAAGTATCTGCCTCTCAGTGCCCATCTTTATAAAGAGAGAAAAATGGACACCATGTGTATTGTAGTGGCTGCGTCTCAGGTGCATAGGCCATGGTTAGCAACATCACTACAGCTCATGTTTTCATGCCCTCTAACAATAGCACTGCCATTTTTCATCTTTCTTAATTTCAGAATTAAACCCTGCTTTCTCAGCCATCGAGGGAAGCTTGTTTATTGTATGATTGTTAACAAGTCTCAGACTTGACCGCCTTTCAGTTTCAATTAACATTCTCCACAATAGCTCAGCTTTGGTATGACATTTTGTTTCTATAGCATATTTGGTGATGAGACACTGGTATGAGTTTTGCTCATTGCCTCTTCATATTTTTGTACATATGTGGATAAAATGAAGGATTCTCACCTGGCTCTGGTTGGCTAGCTCACTACACATGTGTGGGCAATACATTGTTACTGACTCCATATAAAGAGCTCTATCCAGTGCTCTGGGTGACATGGTGGCATGGCTGCAAGACTGTAAGATTGCAGAGCAGAGGCTGGAGTGGTGGCAGCCTCAAGGACAGAGGCCCAGAGGACGGCTGTGGGGGCAGAGAGGCCCAGAGGAGAGGCAGAGACCAGCTTGCTGCATGCAGACTCTCTGAGCGAATGGGATTTTAGTGATTGACCTGCCACCATGGAAATAAAGTTGGGTATAACCCTTTCACCCCAAGAATGTTCTACTGTCATTTCTTTGGTCACATTGAATCCATAGTGAACTTGCCTGGGGCTGAAACCCATTGGCAAGACAACATATTTGGCCTCATTTCAAACATCACCTGAGCAACGCTATCCTCGCGATTAGCTTATACCTGCTGAAACAAGTGACAGTTCTTACTAAATCATAATTGTCTCGATGGCCGTGTAGATTTTTTGCACCTAAGCCCAGGAGAGACCAATAATAGACAACAAAAGCAGTGAGGCCCTCTTCTTGCAGCACCAGGAGAGGATTTTAGTTTTAACACAATTCTGATGAGCTAACTTCCAGACCCAGGAGAAAGAGCACAGTGCTTACCTGTAATTATTAGGCTGCTGACAATAGTGGTAATAATATCTTGACAGCCATGCCATCATGATTAAATCAATCACTTCAGTCTGCAAGGGGACATCCAAATCTGAAAAGGAAATCACATTTCAGAGGCATTGCCCAAACATTTTTTCACCCTTACCTTCCTATCGCATACTCCAACACTGGATTTTCTAAATTTAATTTTTTTGTAAGTCAAAAATCTGGGGAATATTTCCAAGCCTTATTTGAAAATTCCAGACTTATGATAGTCAGCAATATGTCAAATGAATTATATAGGCAGACTTGGGGAAATCTCAGATGACATCATGTAGTTCTCGGTCACTGGTCATCACCCCCTATCAGTTTTCAAAGTTTTGGAATTTCGACATAATTTGCTTACCTTAGAAAGCCTAAAAGGAGCAGGGTATCTATTTAGAAGTAGTAATTTTGCAGATATCAGGGAACCAGTCAGTGTACCAAATCAACTGAGTCACATTTAAAGGAGGTTGGGGGTAGCGGGAGATGGCTGCTCTCTCATGGAGATAATAGTTGAAACCATTTGACCTGGTTTAATGAGAGTGCTTCCTAAGCAAACCTTAAGTTCTTTAATGTTTTATCAGGTCTAGCTCTAAAATCGGCATTTTAACATAAATTTTGGGCCAAATGTTTATTAAGATGTTTAAATGTGCCAGATTTATAGCATAAAATACACTAAATATCAAAATGGATATTGGGGGTGCTTAAGTGCAGAAAGTACTTTTAAAGTCAATTTACATGCATGTTCATATTTGTCTTCACAAGATGGCACATGTTCAAGACGAAGGTCAACAAGGCTGACTCTTACTAAAAGATTAAGGGTAAACTCTAAAGTCTCCAAGATTTAGAGAGAAAAAAAGGAAGGAAACAAAAAAAACAGTCATATCTTTGGTCTTTTAAAAATAGCTCCTGGGTCAGATACGTTTAGTCGGCATTTTTAACTATTCATTCTGTGCTCAGAACCACATGAACTTGATGTTCACACTGAACAAATGTGCTCAGTTGTTTACAAGTGTCCTTTTAAGAGAAAGGCAGAGGGAGAGTTGACACACAGAAAGCAGTCATGTGGCCACCAAGGCAGCAGAGGCCAGAATGCATGGCACTCCCACTTGAGGCCCCGCAGTTCTCAGCTCTAGGTAGGCAGAGGTGAGGCCCACGGCAGGGAAGGGGTCCTGGCAGGAAAGCACAACAGCACGTGCACAGTGTGTACAAAGCTCCACCAAACCCAGGCAGAGGCTGAGCAGGCGACAGGGAGGGAGGTGGAATCCTGGAGGCAGTAGCGAGAGCCGACAAGGTGGCATTATCCAAGTAAAACCCTGTGTGCAGAGAGGGGAAGTGGGATAGCTCTGGGGAGGGGACAACGCACAAGATGCCCAGAGCATGGCTGGTTGAGGGGTGTGCGCCTGCGTGGGTGTTGGCGGACAGGCATGATTAGAGGCGGGCCAAGTCGTTGTCCAGCGGGTCCCATTATGGACTTTTAAATGTTATCCTTCGAGCAACTGAGAGGCATCAAAAACTTAAGTGAGGGAGTGGCATGACACATTTTGCTCTAGAAAAAGATCACTTTGCAAGTGAGTGGATTAAAAGGGAAACACCTGGAGGCTAGGAGAGCCATCTGGGAGCTACTGGGCTGAAAGTGGTTCCAGCATCAGGGAAAACATTCAGAGGGCTGATGGACCTAAGTCAGTGACAGGCTGACCACTGGAGATGAGGGAGGGGCAGCGAGGGTGCCCAAGTTCTTGGCCCAGACAGCTGGGCTAGTGTGCTGGGGTGGGTGGACTGTGCTGGGCAGGGAGGCTGAGAACCAGAGGTCAGGTAAGAGCAGGAAATTCAGGGGAGTGAGGCATCACCGAGGCAAGCAGGGTTGAGGAAGGAGTTGATAAAGGGAGTCACAACTGAAAGACTGAGAGTCTGCTGGATCTGGCGGGCAGGTCCCTTTCAGTTAGTGCTGAGAGCCTGATTACACGGCTTCAAGTGGCAACACCAACTGTGCCTTCCGCGGGCAGCTAGACTGGGGATAACAATACTCGCTCACCCACCCTAACCACAGGGGCCCCAGCAACTCAAGGCCCTTAAAAGATGTAAATCCCTAAGGCATGCTGCTTTCTTTTAAGCACAGGGCCACTTTTTGTTTTACCACCATTCAGCTCAAAATATAAGAATGCTTTTTGATGTTTTTAAATACCTATAGGAAAAAAAATTTAGGCCCAAGATTCTTCTTTTGAGATTAAGAGTCCTCTTAAAAAACAGCCAACACGTTTTTAATTTTTATCAACAGAATGCAGTATTTCTTATACATACGCCTCAAACATTCCGTAAATTATTTTACCCAGGGTTCATGTGCATAAATTCGACTTTTAAAAATTACACTTATTTGAAAAGTCATCTTTGAAGTATTAAACACGATTTTTAAAATCCAGAAACTTAGTTGTCTGTCCTAAAATTATCGTTTATGAAGGCAATCTCCTCCCACTCCCATCTGATCTGTTCTGGCTCTGGGGAACCCCACATGTTCCGTTTAGCTCGTCTAACAAACCCTTTCTTTAGACGTTGGCATTCTTGTTACACTAATATTCTGGTTTTGATTCAAAGTGAGCGTTGCAATTAATGAACTTGTATTCGTTCAAGAAAACGAACAGCCTAAGAAGTACAGAAGAACTGGCATTAGAGAAAGTGGCCGTTTAGCCTGTGCTACTAAAGGGGCGGTGTTTGTGAACACACGGCGGACGAGCCGAGGACCGGGCGGCCGTCACGACCTGCTCACCGGAACCACCCGGGCCTGTCTCCTCCAGCTCACTCGCAAACGGGGTGCCGGGGCCACCTCCCGGGGAGGCAATGTTAGTGCTCCGGGCCACTTCGCTGAGCCGAACCGTCCCGACGCGAGCCTCGAGCGCAGAGCACCACGGGCGCCGCCGCCCCCCGGCCCCGCGCGCTACCGTCAGGGAGAGCCGCCCTCAGGGCTGTGCGGAGGCCGAACCGTGCGGCAGCCCCACCGGGGCGCGTGTCCTCGCGGCGGCCCTGGCGCCGGGTTCCCGCCTCCCTCGGGGCCGCCCGCGGGGCGCGGGGTGCGGGCAGGGCAGGAGGCGGCGCCAGGAGGGCGCGGCAGACGCGCGGAAAGGGTGCAGGGAGGAAGCGCGGGGGACGAGCGGCGCCAGGCCGCCGGAAGACGGGTGCGGGTAGACGCGCGCCGACCCGCGGAAGGCGGACGCGGCGGCGGCAGCGCTCCCGTCAGACCCGCCCTCGCCCGGCCCCCGGCGCAGCGCACCTCCCTCGCCCCGCCTCCAAGCGCCGGGCGCCCAATCACAGCGCCGCGCACGTGACGAGCTCTGCCTGCGATGACCTCATCCCTGGTGTGGGATGACGTCAAATTCAAGATGGATGGAATCACAGCGGCAGCGGCGGCTGCGGCGCGCGCGAGCCGAGTGTGAGCGGAAAGGGGCCCGGCGTCTACCTCCGGGCTGAAGGCCGGTGAGTAACTGTCACGCCCCTCGCCCTAGGAGAACTGCGGGGCCCCGTGGGAGGCCACAGCCTCCCCGCAAAACGCGGCCTTTCCTGACGTAACTCTGAGGTGATCTCTCTCTTTTTTCTCTCCAGCGCGTTGCGGGCTCCGAGCGCTTCTGCGCGTGCGCGGGGCCCTGGCCCTCACCGAGCATGTCCCGGGCTCCCACGTAGCCGTTTGTGCCTTCACACTGCGCATGCTCCTTGCCCGCACTTGGCCTCGCCCTCGCCATTGCGCACGCTCCGTCCCTCACTGGTCTTCCCTTGCCCGGCCAGGTGCCCCGCCGCAGACGCGCCCTGCGCCCAGCGATTTGGGCGCCTTCCGACCGGGGACGCCTGCGCCTGCCCCGAGAGCGCGTGGAGGCCGGCGGTCTCTGCGGGCCCCGCGAGCGCGCGCGGAAGCTTGGGGCAGTAGGCCCCCGCACCTGCAGTAGCCTGCGCCCCCAGCCCCCTCGCCCTGCCTGGCGGCCGCCAGAGCCACCTCCCCCGCCCGAGTTGACTTTGCTCGGCCCGTCTCCCTGGCGCCCTCCGCCGTACGTGTGCACCGGGGCGCGCTCGTGTCCCCTCTCCGAATCCTCCGCCCGCCACAGCGCTCAGGCCCCCGCCGCCGACCGCGGCTTCTCCCCGGGGGTGCGCATGGTTCCGCACTTGAGAAAGCCCCCGTCCGAAATCCGCAGCTTGAGCCGGGGAGGGTGGGTCCGACCCGCGCGCGGCTCGGGAGACCGGCCCAAGGACCTCCGCTGGACGGAGCCCCGCGGTCTCCTCCTGGGTTCTCTGTCGCCAAGACCACCCACCTGGAACAAGTTCATTAGCACACTGCGGAAGGTCGCGCTTGGGCCGCAGGAGAGCCCCGCGGGCCTAGTCCTTCACCCCGGTTGCTATTCACTCCAGCCACAGGGCCGCGTGGTTCCGAAGGGTGCCACCTGAGCAGCACATCGGAGGTGGGGTGTTTTTTTAGAGGGATTGCCTCGCAGTGGGAGAGGGGTAACTTTAATCAGACCCCGCACAGTGCAAGAGCTAGCGGCCCTGCTCCCCTCCAGCATCTGGGGTCATCAGTGTATTACAGCACAGTCCAGTGATTGCTCATAAAGACGACCGTCAGCCAGCAATGGGGAGCCTGCATTATGTTCTTCACACCTTGTTTAAAAAGACAAGGAAGAGGATTAATCCATTTTAGAAAGATTTCTCCTTGACAGTTACTTTTTAAAACTTTCTATCTGATGCTTGGAGTAGATCCCTCATCTATCTATAATGACTAACAGTTACTACATAAAATTTAAGTACTGCTAATATTGAAGTAGAAGTTAGGGGTATTGGTTTACTTAAAATCTATGTTTAATTAATTCTTTTTACTATTGTTGAATGTATAGTGTGCTTTGCCCTGTGCAGATAAAAGGTGAAAAGGTTCCCTCCAGAAACTTAGTGTTTATGGCCGGGATACTAGATTTTGTATGTAACAAACAGCAGAGGGGCTAAGTTATCGAGGAAGTCTCTGCATGAGGAGGTGATGACCAAAAGGACACAGTTTTATCCCCAAAGCACATTGGGCTGGGGAGAGCAGATTCTAGAGCTGTTGAGAAGTGAGCGAGGCTTGACAAGTTGGGGTGACTGGCTGGGAAGGAAAGAGAAGAGGTTTCTGGTTTGGGAGACCTAGTTGTTGGAAACACACCAGACTGAATGCAATGTGTGAGAGCAAGCAGATGTAGGGGTACAGGTGAGGGGGTGGGTGGCACGTATCCTGGACTCGTGGGATGTCACTTATGGCAGTGTTTAGTGGGCCCCTGAGAGGCTCCTTCCCACAGAGAAGCCTAGGCAGAGACACAGATGTGGGAGGCCATCATCCAATGGCAATTAAAGCCACAAGAGCTCATACAAAAGCAAAGTAATGCCACCTGCTGAGCTCTAACAAATGCTGGAGCAATGAAAGTGAGCAAGGTCGGGTCCTGACCCTCAAATGTGGTTTCTCTCTGTCCAATAGATGGCTGCCAGGCCTGTGCTAAGCATTGGAATACACAGATGAAAACAAGGATTTTTCCTTTAAAGGACTCTCATGAAGAAGATAGGTATAGAGGCAGATCTCAAAATCATTGTGTTGCCAAAGAGATGAAGTATTGTAGTAAATTAGATGACTGAGCTACTAGCTAGGGGCACACTGACGCTTTGTAGACAGCGGTGTTTAAGATGAATCTTTCTGTTAGAAGTTGGCCATGTAAAAAAAAGGCAAAGATGGAGGTGGAAATTGGATGTGCAAGTTTGTAGGGTAGATGGTAAGCAGTGTCAGTAGGGGCGGAGAGATGAATTATGACTAGAATATTAAGAGTTTTGTATGCCAGTCTTGTATCCCATAGAGTTGGGGTTTTTATCTATGAAGCAATAGAAAAACCAAGGTAGTGTTCTGGAGGCAGTGATGGAACTACTTTTACTTTAGGAAAACACACCAGAAGGCATCATTTCTACCCTTGCATTTAACTGGAGTCAGCACAGAAAACATCAAGAAATTTTGTTGTGCAAGGTACCTTGTTGGGTATTGTGAAGAGTATCAAAAAAATTTAGAGTCTTAGTCCTTAGGTAGCTTACAGTTCTGTTAGGAAGATAAACAGCAAACAACACTACGTAAGTGGTGCCACTCGTGTAATACAGGAGTTGGAAGGTGTCTGCTCTTTATAAACTGAAGCTTGGGCTGCCCTCACAAGCTCCCACAGACTAGGACACTTAAACAGCAGGCATTTGCTGTCTCCCAGTTCTGCACCTAGAAGTCTTGAGACCAACCTGTCAGCAGGGTTGATTTCTCCTGAGGCCTCTCTCCGTGGCTTGTAGGTGGCTGTCTTCTCTGTGTGTGTGCTCATCTCCTTTTCTTGGGACACCAGCCATGTTGGATTAGGGCCTCCCCTGAAGACCTGTTGTAAGCAATTATCTTGTTGAAGACCTTATCTCTAAGTGTGCTTTCATTCTGAGGTACTAGGGGTCAGGACTTAAGTTTATTAATTTGGGGGGAAAGGGACACACAATCCAGCCTGTGGCTGAAGGCTTAATGGAGGACTTGGACTTGAGCTGGGCTTTGAAAGATGATGAATGTTCACCTGATTGGAGTTCTGGGGAGACGGTTCGACAATAGGACGTTGCACATCAGGTAATGGAGGAAGCAAGGCATGCGTGTTGTGTCTCAGAGACAGTGTCTAAAGCAGGAAGTTACCATGAGGGAATAATAAAAGCAAAGATAATTTAAGAAGTAGTTTGAAGCCAGATTTATGGAGCCTTCGAGTCCATATTTTTAAATTTTTGCCTTTTAACCAAGTGGAGAACCACTGGCTTTTTTTTATTTCGTTATTTCTTTTCACTAAGGTGTTAAGACTCAGCTAAGAAGTCATATCAAGGCATTTCTTGACCATCTTCTCCAAACTCCTGGTTACTCCACCCTTTCACAGCACCCTATTTATTTCCATAATAACACTTAGCACAATCTGCCGTATCTTTCTTGTTTGGTTTCTTGTTTATCACCTGATTTACCCCACTAGAAAGTGGAAGCCTTGTCTGTTTTGTGCACCCCTGTATTTCAGGTATGGTTAACCATGCTTTGACATAATTGGAGTTCAATAAACACATTGCAGTAGTAATAGTAATATTTAATGTATACATCCAATGAATGATCAAAAGTTTGTTTTAGGAAGCTCAGTCTAGCATCAATATTATAAAGGATGGATTGGGAGGGTGTGACAGGAAGGATAAATAGAGAAATGTATTAGAGTCCTTTAATAACACAACAGGAACTGACACGCTAGCTTGAATAGAAAAAGGAATGTATCATAAAGACACCAGGTTGCTCTTAAGGTATAAAGAAAAGCTAAATAATTGGGCCAGGGAGAAAAGAAAGCAAGGTAACTGATAGGAATGTGTAGCAGGCACTGGCAGGCCACTTCTGAGAGAAGTCTGCTCTACTCACTGGCTGCTTCTGTTCTGTGCAGGCCCATATCCCAGGGAGGAGGTTTGTGACTGGCTTGCTTTAGTTGTGTACCTACCCCTGAGCTAGGGGAGAGCAGTGCATCAGTGTGTATTCGGTGGGTGAGAGTGGTTCAGCCAAAGCCAGGTGAAGGGACCTCCTTCCACAGGGGAGGGCGTGGTGGCCGGGACAAAACAAGAGGCTGCTCTGCTGGCTAAGGCACAGATGAAGAACCTGAACTGTGTTCTAGTAGAATCACTTGGCTGGATACAGCAGACAGCACACCCTTAACCCCAAATCAGACCTCTAGAGAGAAAGAAAATGTGGTGAGATGGGATCTAAGAGAGTGACCTTACCAAAGTTTGCACGGTCAGATGAGCTGTGCTGACTCTGAAATCTGAGGAGCTTTAGATAATTTCTGGATTTCTGCATTGTCACCAAGTGAATGACAACAATAAGACCTAAACTCAGAGTTGACTTTCTGTCTCCATCTAATAGTGAAATCAAATGGAAAGGGCAGCCTAAATCCAGAGGTGAGGGTTCAGGGCTGAGGGGGAGGGGTGGGTGTGTGTGTTTACATTCCAGGGTCAAATGTAGATGCTTTGTTTTTCTAACTAGGTGTTCGCTTTGTGTTACACACGTTCCTTCCTTTTTCCAGTGTCATGGTTAGGATGGTTTAAGCAATCCCCAACATCCCAAAGGACTGGGTGCCCAGCGTTCAGTTTTAGGTTAATGTTTTGGATATAAAGAGACATTTTCATATGAAACTGGCAGCAGGGTTTTATGGGCTAGTCTTAAAGCAAATTTAATTTATAATGTTCCTTTGCTCTAACACCAGCCTCAGTTGTAATCTCCAAAACTTGCGAGTCTGGTGAGGTTACTTTGTTCCCTTCCTAGCTCCTTTCTGGCCCCTCACTCACCTTCTAGTGACCTTTTACCCGAGCACCTAGCTGTGCTTGCTTCTGTTTATGTCCCCAGAATACTTTGTATTCCAAAATTGCCTGTCTTCCCTCCATCCCCTTAAAAATCTTAACTCCAACTGATACAATATTGGTATAAAGAGAAAGTTATTTGCATTGAATTTAATTTATATGAAGATATGAATTCCCCACTCCATTTACCATTTAGTGCCTGAGGAATTTAAGGTCCTGGTATGAAATAAATTTCTGAATTCAGTTGTGAGGGCTTTGTAGCCATTCTAGGAAATTGGAACTTCAGGCAAGGCCAGCCTTCAGGAGTCTTTAAGCTTCACCACAATCAGACACTTGTCGCAGCAAGTGTCTGTAGTGGAAATGTGAAGAATGGAACCTTTGGTATCATCAGAGCCCAGTGAGTGATGAGCCTCAGATCGTCCCTGATGTCCCCATTGTTCGCTCACTGGCCCTCCCGCCCCGTTAGCTGCTTCCTGAAGTCAGTATTCTCATAGTCTTTCTTAACCATCATGTTTTACTTGTACATGTCTGTCCTACCACGGGAATGTGTACTGCCGGAGAAGAGGCAGCCGGTCACCTCACTCATCTGCACCAGCCCCTCTCCTGATACATGGTCTGTAGCAGCTGAAGGAACTTCAGGAAAGGAAAGGGGGACGGAAGTAAAGTACGTGCTCCCCACGTAGGAAACACTGTATACTAGGAGCTTGCAAACATATTGCCTCTTGTTTTTCATAAAAATCCTGTGTGGTGGGTAGTGTTAGCCCATTTAACAGATTAAGGAAACCAGTACTCAGAAAGGTTGAATGATCTTCAGGTTACATACCTAGTAAGTGGCAAAGCCAGGATTTGAGGCAAATAGACTGATTTGAAAGTTTTTTCCACAGAGCTATGACTTCCATGAATTGTTAACCATAAAGATTCTATTTTGAAATTTCAGGAAACAACATGAAATAGCAACAATTCAGGCAGACTGTGGGAAGACATTTGTGAGCAAGGATCAAGTGGTAAGCAAGCCAGCCCTCTCTCAGAATCTGGCTTTCCTGGGTGATTTCTTCCCAGCTTTTTCTGTTGTTGTCCTTGTTGTCCACACTTCACCCACTTTTCTTTAAAGAACTCCCCAAGGTTTTTCTATTACGTCTGAAGTGGCTGTGGGGGCCCCCGTACCCACGAGTCAGGTAGAGCTGAGCGACAGAAAGGAGCAGGCATGGGCGTGATGGCAGTTGTATTTATACACAGGAGCTTTAAACTTACTATGCACTGTCTTCTTCACGTCAGAGGCCCTGATTACTCGTAATGAAAGCATGCATGAGAAATTGGAGTTCAAGGAGCCAGCAGATGAGATGTACTGGCCTTACCTGAGCAGAAATAGCAAAGGGCTTGAGAATTAGTCTGTGCATCCACCAGCCACAAATGGTTTTGCTGGATTATCTCATGGAATTCACTGTAATTCCCCACCTTTTTGCCTACATTCTTAATGTAGCATTTTATATTTTTAGTGTTAAACTCAGTAAACAGACCTAGTGTCATTAAAACACAAAAATCCAAAATGTTTGTTGTCTGCAGCTAGACTAGGATAGATAAAAGCAAGGGCCTCAACCTGAAAGTGAGGAGGCCACACTGCCCTGCATGCTTTCTCCCATCCTTCCAGGCATCTGGGGCCTTTGTCCTGGGTGCTGCTTAGAGTGAGGGAGGTGACTCTCCTTGTGATCCTCGGATGGCCTTCCTTTAGCCCCCACGGCCTCATGCCTCCAGCCACATCGCATACCCGTCCCTCCACGTATTCTTTCCTCCAGCAAAGGTGGTGCCTGTCTTAGTCCGTGATACTGGGCATACTATCCCATACTTGAAATGCCCTTCACTCTCCTTGGCCCCTCCCACATTCTCGAACTTGTGCTCCTTCAAGAAGTTTCTGTAGAATGCCTTCCCTGACCTCTCGCCTGCATCCAGAACCATCACCTGCACCCCATCTGTACCTCTGCACACGGTCCATGGCCACTTAGCACACTGCAACATGATGACAGATTGACTCGTCTTGTTCCCACATAAGGTTTAAAATGAGTTAGGCAGGACCTGCCTGTCACACTGATGTCTTCCGTGTCTAGCCACTTCCAGCACATACTCAGTTGGTGCCCAGCTGGGAGAAGCATGTGATAGGATGACCGAGAGTCGCCATACTAACTGACAGATAGGTGACCGTAGGCAGGTTACTTCATCTCTCAGTGCGTTAGTTTCCTAATTTATAAAACAGGTGAAGACAGTGCCTCGCTTAGATGTGAATGTAAGAATGAAAAGAGGAAATAGAGGCAGTATTTTATAGGGATCAAGAGCGTGGCCTCTGGAGCCAGAGCTCCTGGTGTGAATCCCAGTCTGCTCCTTACTGTCTGTGTGACCTTGAGCAAGTTACTTGATCCTGTGTGCCTCAGTTTCCTTATCTGTAAAATGGGATAATACAGTACCTACCTCTTAACCCTGTAAATATTGAGTTACTGTATAAAAAATGTTACAGTAGTATGTGTCAGAGTAAGCACTTACATAGTAGGTATTCTTAAGTGTCTGATTAGTATTTGAGTGAATAAAATAGAAAATAATTACTGTAGAGTTCTGCACTGGTATATCAGGAATGTGTACATGCTTAGCCACTTCTCAGGCAGCAGTCTCATTGGTGACTACAGTGGAGATTGTAGTTGAATGAATAGTTTTAAACTCCAAATGATTTTCAGGGACATGACTGTGTCTCTTACAACTCAACTCTGAGTGACTTATTTTTTCTCCAGGTCCCAGATGTTCTCATTCAAAGAGTACAGAAGCCTGTGGTTCAAGGGATTAGAAGCATGCACTTAGAATAAAACAGGGCTCATGATAACTTGAGGAAAGCAAAAGAAGGAAACTACTCTGAACAATGAAAGTGAGAAAATGCGGTTTTTTGCCATATAGGAACGGGATGTGGATGGTGTGTGGAATAGCATTTGCTCCACGTCCAGGGACTTGGAAAATCTCACTTGGTTTAGTCCTCACACAGTTCCTTAGCCTGTACCTGTGGTTTCAAGTTCCTCTGGTGTCCCAGTTTGTGTTCCCCTCAAAGCAAACCCTGAGACCAGAGCTCAGATGTGAGGTTTATATTTGGGGAAGTGACCCCAGGAAACACAGGGAAGCTTGTAGGGAAAAGGATGCCCATAAGGGATGCGTTAGTGAATAGGCTTCTCACATTGAAACTGTCAAAACTAAATTACTGAAAAAAAATCTGCATCAGTTTTTCTATCAAACTTCATCTTAAGTAAGGCCATCCTTCCAGTTGTTTGGCAGATTCCTTGGAACACCTTCAACCCCATGCCTTCTTATCTTCAACAGTCAACCCATTAAAATCTGAATAACTGCCTTTACCTCCACTGCCACCAGCTTCATCCTGCCACCACCACATCCCAGCTGCCTCTTCGCAGCAGACCCTTGCCTGGCCTCCCAGCCCTCATCCTTTCCTGACCTTCCACGGTCTGTCCTCAACACCCAGCAGAGCGATCCTTCAGAAGCCCTCCAGGTTGCTGCCCCTCCTGCCCTCAGGATCATCCGTGGCCCATTTTCCTCCCGATAGAAAGCGTGCTTCTACCAGCAGCCTCACAGCCCAGCAGTGGCTCCTCACGCTCCCCCACTGCCATCTTTACACCTCCTTGGCTCCTCTCCAGCCCTGCCGTTCCCTTACCTTGGCTCCTCCCTCAGCTTGTAGCACTCCTCAGCGGTCCTCGCGGCCCATCCGCAGCACCTTCAAGCCTTCTCAAATGCTATCATGTAGAATGAATGAACGAATGATGTGAAATTCCTGGTACACTTTGTAGTGTGTCACAGATGCTGAATAAATGGTAGCAATTACTATTTTCTCATTTAATTCTCACAGTAGCACTGTACTATAGCTGCTCTTCACCCTAATTTGCAGTGGGAAAAACTGAGGCTCAGAAAGTCTGATTAGCCTAGAGCACTGACTTCCAAACCCTCTTGACTGACCCACAGGTAGACTATATTGTACATCTCAACTCAGTGTATGCCTCCATGTGAATATGTGTGCATGTAACAGGAACAGAAGTTTCACAAGATCTTAGCCTCACTACATTTGAGGCATTCTGACATTTCTGCTTTGTCCTAGTCATCTCATTTGATTACTAGTTTCAAACCATTAAATTTTTAAGAACCCTTTGGAAAAATACTTGTCCAGGCTTTCGATTCTGCATTTGTTGACTTCCCCGTGGCAGCGTCTGAGCTAGCTAATACAAAAGGAGGTAAGAACTGAGGAAGTCAGAGCTCACGCCTGGTCACCAGGCCAGTGGCCTGGCAGACTCTTCTCTGTGGCTCTCCTGGAGAGTCCAGATGCTGGTTGCCTGGCAAAGGCTGATCCTTTGAAGCCAGGGAAGAACCTGTACATGGGCTGGTGCTGAATTTGGTACATCTGCAACTTGCCGTCTAGAGAATCGTAAAACTGTCACAAATAGTCTTAGCTACTTTAATCCATTTTAATATTAAAAATAAATGTCATAACTGCAGCATCTTACTATGCTGATGGACAGTGACTGTCATGGGGTATATAGTAGGGACTTGATAATAGGGGGAATGTAGTAACCACAGTGTTGCTCATGTGAAACCTGAGCATAAGATTGTATATGAATGATAACAATATAAATTAATGTATATCATAACTATTGTAAAGAAAAGATGCATTAGAAAGCCAAACCAGAAATGAGATGTTATCAAAGCAGAAGCCTAAGTGAAGGGTCAGGTTTGGAGCGTCAGGCATTGTCTCTATGAAATGGATTTATCTGTCAAGAGTGCCAGTGGGGTCAATATGGGCCCTTTTTCTTGGTTACTGGACTAGATGCTGACTGCATATGAGATGCAGGCTCACCTGATCTCTGGGACAACCCCAAAGGGGAGAGGGCACAGTCAATACCTGCATCCCACATGAGGGACCCCGACATTCAGACAGGCCCATCCCTGACGGAGTTGCTGGCACTTCCACCTCGGCCAGAACCTCACTCACCACTAGGTCTGTGTCTCGCCTTTAGATTTGAAGAGAATTCCAGTAAAATCTCTATTCAAATCCCCTTGTTTAGAATAGTAATAATCATGTTTAGACCAGGCCAGAGTTTCCTGTGTGCTATTATTGAAAATGTGATTTGATAAGACATCCTATTTAGGAGATTGCAAGGTGTTCACAGGAAAGAAAACATGCATTCTTTAACAAGTCTAACCTTTGTTAAACACGTTATTAAATGCCTATACCAAGGTGATTAGCAGGTGATTTTTCTCTTTCCAAAAATTCGTATCTATTTTTAAAGATATGGCAAGACCTCTACTTTGCATCCCATTACTAATCCACAGTAAGTAAGTCTATCTACTAATAAAACTGATTTCTTTTCAGAATTAGAGACTCTAAGGGTTTCAATTCTTCACACTTACTCCCTGAACTTATTAATAAGGAATAGAACCAAGCTTCAAATGCATAAGAGTAAACCTTTATTTATGAATAAGCCTTGTTAATAATAAACCTTAAATAATAAACTTTTATATTCAAGTATTACTCCTTTATATATATGCCAAGTTCTAGCAGCCTTTTGATGGTATGAAAATGTCAGTGTTACAGTTCAGTCCCTAAAATTCCACTTTTAATGATTGATGATATGTATAAACCACATGACTTTTTATTTTTTAAGGTAATTAGTTTTTTGGGTTTTTTTAAGATATTATTGATATATACTCATGAAGGTATCACGTGAATAACAATGTGGTTACTACATTCACCCCTATTATTGAGTCTCCCCCACACACCCCATTGCAGTCACTGTCCATCAGTGTAGTAAGATGCCACAGAGTCCCTGTTTGTCTTCTCTGAGCTGTACTGTCTTCCCTGTGATCCCACACACACCATGTGTACCAATCATGATACTCCCCAATCCCCTTCTCCCCCCTCCCTACTCGCCCTCCCACATGCCTCCCCTTTGGTAACTGCTAGGCCCTTCTTGGAGTCTGTGAGTCTGCTGCTGTTTTGTTCCTTCAGTTTTGCTTCATTGTTATACTGCACAAATGAGGGAAATCATTTGGTACTTGTCTTTCTCCGCCTGGCTTATTTCACTGAGCATAATATCCTCCAGCTCCATCCATGTTGTTGCAAATGGTAGGATTTGTTTCTTATGGCTGAATAGTATTCCATTGCGTATATGTACCACCTCTTCTTTTTCCATTCATCTACTGATGGACACTTAGGTTGCTTCCATATCTTGCCTATTGTAAATAGTGCTGCAATAAACATAAGGGTACATATGTCTTTTTGAATCTGAGAACTTGTTTTCTTTGAGTAAATTCCTAGGAGTGGAGTTCCCGGGTCAAATGGTTTTTCTATTTTTAGTTTTTTGAGGAACCTCCATATTGCTTTCCACAATGGTTGTACTAGCTTACATTCCCACCAGCAGTGTAGGAGGGTTCCCCTTTCTCCGCATCCTCACCAGCATTTGTTGTTCTTAGTCTTTTCAATGCTGGCCATCCTAATTGGTGTGAGGTGATATCTCATTGTGGTTTTTATTTGCATTTCCCTGATATTAGTGATGTGGAGCATCTTTTCATGTGCCTGTTAGCCATCTGAATTTCTTCTTTGGAGAAGTATCTGTTCATATCCTCCACCCATTTTTTTATAGGATTATTTGCTTTTGGGTGTTGAGGCATGTGAGTTCTTTATATATTTTGGATGTTAACCCCTTGTCAGATATGTCATTTACAAAAATATTCTCCCATACTGTAGGATGCCTTTTTGTTATGCTGATGATGTCCTTTGCTGTACAGAAGCTTTTTAGTTTGATGTAGTCCCATGAGTTCATTTTTGCTTTTGTTTGCTTTGCTTGAGGAGATGCATTCAGGAAAAAGTTGCTCATGTTTATACTCAGAAGATTTTTACCTATGCTGTCTTCTAAGAGTTTTATGGTTTCATGACTTACATTCAGGTCTTTGATCCATTTCGAGTTTACTTTTATGTATGGGGTTAAACAATCCAGTTTCATTCTCTTACATATAGCTGTCCAGTTTTGCCAACACCAGTTGTTGAAGAGGCTGTCATTTCCCCATTGTATGTCCATGGCTCCTTTATCGTTTATTAATTGACCACATATGCTTGAGTTTAGATCTGGCCTCTCCAGTCTGTTCCATTGGTCTGTGGGTCTGTTCTTGTGCCAGTACCAAATTGTCTTGATTCCTGTGGCTTTGTAGTAGAGCATGAAGTCAGGGAGCCTAATCCCCCCACTTTATTCTTCCTTCTCAGGATTGCTTTGCTATAAGGAGTCTTTTGTGGTTCCATGTGAATTTTACAACTGTTTGCTCTAGTTTGTTGAAGAATGCTGTAGGTATTTTGATAGGGATTGCATTGAATCTGTAAATTGCTTTAGGCAGGATGGCCATTTGACAATATTAATTCTTCCTATCCATGAGCACAGGATGTGTTCCCATTTATTGGCATCTTATTTAATTTCTCTTGAGTGTCTTGTAGTTTTCAGAGTACAGGTCTTTCACTTCCTTGGTTAGGTTTATTCCTAGGCATTTTATTCTTTTGATGCAACTGTGAATGGAATTGTTTTCCTGATTTCTCTTTCTGCTAGTTCATCTTTAATGTATAGGAATGCAACAGATTTCTGTGTATTAGTTTTGTATCCTGCAACTTTGCTGAATTCAGATATTAGATCTAGTAGTTTTGGAGTGGATTCTTCAGGTTTTTTTATGTACAATATCATGTCATCTGCAAACAGTGACAGTTTAACTTCTTCTTTACCAATCCAGATGCCTTTTATTTCTTTGTGTTGTTGTCTGATTGTCATGACAAGGACCTCCAGAACTATGTTGAATGAAAATGGAGAAACTGGCATCCTTGTATTTTTCCTAATCTTAAAGGGAAGGTTTTCAGCTTCTTGCTGTTAAGAATGGTGTTGCCTGTGGGTTTGTCATATATGGTCTTTACTATGTTGAGGTACTTGCCCTGTATACCCATTTGTTGAGAACACAAATGGATGTTGAATTTTGTTGAATGCTTTTCAGCATCTGTGGAGATGATCATGTGGTTTTTGTCCTTTTTGTTTATGTGGTGGATGATATTGATTAGATTTTTGAATATTGTACCATCCTTGCATCCCTGGAATAAATCCCACTTGATCATGATGGATGATCTTTTTGATATATTTTTTAATTTGGTTTGCTAATATTTTGTTGAGTATTTTTACATCTATGTTCATCAGGGATATTGGTCTGTAATTTTCTTTTTTTGTGGTGTCTTTGTCTGGTTTTGGTATTAGAGTGATGCTGGCCCCATAGAATGAGTTCAGAAGTATTCCCTCCTCTTCTACTTTTTGGAAAACTTTAAGGAGGATGGGTATTAGGCCTTCACTAAATGTTTGATAAAATTCAGTGGTGAAGCCATCTGGCCAGGGGTTTTGTTCTTAGGTAGTTTTTTGATTACCAGCTCAATTTCATTGCTGGTAATTGGTCTGCTCAGATTTTGTTTCTTTCTGGGTCAGCCTTGGAAGGTTGTATTTGTCTAGAAAGTTGTCCATTTCTTCTAGGTTATCCATTTTGTTAGCATATAGTTTTTCATAGTATTCTCTAATAATTCTTTGAATTTCTGTGGTGTCCATAGTGATTTTTCCTGTCTCATTTCTGATTCTGTTTATGTGTGTAAACTTTTTTTTTTCTTAATAAGTCTGACTAGGGGTTTATCTATTTTATTTTCTCAAAGAACCAGCTCTCTTGGTTTCATTGATTCTATTGTTTTATTCTTCTTGATTTTAATTTCTGCTCTAATCTTTATTATATCCCTCCTTCTGCTCACTTTGCATCTCATTTTTTCTTTTTCTACTTACATTAATTGTGAGTTTAGACTGTTCATATGGGATTGTTCTTCTTTCCTTAGGTAGGCCTGTATTGCAGTAAACTTCCCTCTTAGCACGGTCTTCTCTGTGTCCCACAGATTTTACGGTGTTGAATTATTGTTGTTATTTGTCCCCATATATTGCTTGATCTTTATGACTTGTTTCTTTATATTTTATGTTATTTAAATAAGATGACTCATCCAAAAAGCTTTTGTCTACCTGTAGTCTGCTAAATATTGGCACCTATGAGAAGACAGTGTCCTGCCCTTGGGGATCATTTCATCTCATGGAGAGCTTTTCACCACATTATTCATAATAATTGCACACTCTTGTCTTTCAGATAAGCCCAAGCGATGGAGGGATTACTGCATTACATCAACCCAGCGCATGCCATTTCTCTCCTAAGTGCCCTCAATGAGGAGCGCCTCAAAGGACAGCTGTGTGATGTGCTTCTGATTGTTGGAGACCAGAAATTTCGAGCTCATAAAAATGTCTTGGCTGCCAGCAGTGAATACTTCCAGAGTTTATTCACAAATAAGGAAAATGAGTCACAAACTGTATTTCAGCTTGATTTCTGCGAACCAGATGCTTTTGATAATGTTTTGAATTACATTTATTCTTCATCTTTGTTTGTTGAGAAAAACAGCCTTGCTGCTGTGCAGGAACTAGGCTACAGTCTTGGGATTTCCTTCCTAACTAACATCGTTTCTAAAACACCTCAAGCCCCCTTTCCAATGTGTCCCAACAGAAAAAAAGTATTCATAGAAGATGAAGAAAACAGTTCTCAAAAGAGAAGCGTCATTGTTTGTCAGAGCAGAAATGAAGCACAGGGGAGAACTGTCACTGCAAACCCGCCTGACCTGAGCCATAGTTCCCGGCCCTCACCTGGCGTGGCAGTCAAGACCAGCACCAGTAAGCCTCATGTTCCAGCACCAGTTGAGCCACTTCACAGTTTGTCATTAACAGAAAAGAATTGGCCCAAAGATGGTCCTGTGGGCTATGCAAAGGCCCTTGAGCATTCTGGATCTTTGGAAGACTCTGACAGAAGCACCCTGGTGAAGAGGAACACAGTGCTGCCTTCCAAGCCCCCACAGGATTTAGAGGCTGTGGGTGGGAGGGCGGGGCTCAGCGGCCAGCTTCCCAAGGGAAAAGTCGTGGAGCTGGCCTTGAAAAGACCACGGCCACCCGTTTTATCTCTTCGAAGCTCATCAGAGACTCCCTATGTACTGAAAGAAACTAACAAAGGAAGTGGTCCAGGCGAGGACAGAAACTTGTTGTACTACTCCAGGTTGGGGCTGGTGATCCCATCCAGCGGAGCCGGCTCTGGAAGCCAGAGTGTGGACAGAAGTGGCCCTCTTGTTAAGAGCCTCCTCCGACGATCATTGTCAATGGACAGCCAGGTTCCTGTCTACTCGCCTTCAATAGATGTGAAGCCTAACCAGGGGTCGTCCTCAGTGTCAAGCAATGCACCAGGGAATGTGTTCTGTACTTTATCTCAAAAGTCATCTTCAAAAGACTGTGGTGAAAGGTTAGCCCTGGATGACCGGCCCCCGGCCCTGCAGCCGCACCGCCTCAGATCCTTCAGTGCTTCTCAGTCCACGGAGAGGGAGGGTACCACCCCAGTGACCAAGGTTCAGATCAAGATGGAGCCCCGCAGCCCACTGTCGGAGCCGTTGGACATCATCCGAGTCACTGTGGGAGACACGGCAGGGGCCTCGTCTGTCACGAGAGACCTTTCTCTGAAAACAGAAGACGACCAAAAAGACATGAGCAGACTCCCAGCAAAAAGGAGGTTCCAGGCTGACCGAAGACTGCCACTGAAGAAGCTAAAGGCGGATGAGCATGGGTCTCCGGGGTCAGAAGATAATTTTGAGGAAGGTTCAAGCCCTACTCCCCTCGATGCAGATTTTCCAGATTCTGACTTGAATAAAGATGAATTTGGTGAGTTGGAGGGAACAAGACCAAACAAAAAATTTAAATGCAAACATTGCCTTAAGATCTTTAGATCAACAGCAGGCCTTCACCGGCACATTAACATGTACCATAACCCAGAAAAGCCCTATGCTTGTGACATCTGTCACAAGCGGTTTCACACAAACTTCAAAGTGTGGACACACTGTCAGACCCAGCACGGCATAGTGAAGAACCCGTCACCAGCCTCTAGCTCACATGCCGTTTTGGATGAAAAATTCCAAAGAAAGCTGATTGACATAGTGAGAGAGAGAGAGATTAAGAAGGCCCTGATCATTAAGTTAAGGCGCAGCAAGCCCGGTTTTCAGGGACAGAGCAGTTCCCAAGCACAAGCCATCAAGAGGAACTTGAGATCGCGAGCCAAGGGAGCATACATTTGTACTTACTGTGGAAGAGCCTATCGCTTTCTCTCTCAGTTCAAACAGCACGTAAAAATGCACCCAGGAGAGAAACCCATTGGAGCGAATAGAGTTGCTAAGCCTAAAGAGCATGTGCCTCTTGCGAGTCCGGTAGCAAACAAGGAGGTTTTCCAGTGCCGCCTCTGTAATGCTAAGCTCTCTTCTCTTCTAGAGCAAGGAAACCACGAGCGACTATGCAGGAACGCAACCGTTTGCCCTTACTGCAGCCTTAGGTTTTTCTCGCCTGAGCTAAAGCATGAACATGAGAGTAAGTGTGAATATAAGAAGCTGACCTGTCTCGAGTGCATGCGCACCTTCAAGTCCTCCTTCAGCATTTGGCGGCACCAGGTTGAAGTGCATAATCAGAACACCATGGCGCCATCCGAAAACTTTTCTCTACCCGTTCTGGACCACAATGGGGAAGTAACTGGTTCCTCTAGGCCCCAGGCACAGCCCGAGCCTAATAAAGTGAACCATGTGGTCACCACCAAAGACGACGTGTTCAGTGATTGTTCAGAGCAGGTGAACTTCGACTCAGAAGATTCCTCCTGTCTCCCTGAAGACCTTAGCCTTTCAAAGCAACTGAAAATCCAGGTCAAGGAGGAGCCTGCAGAGGAGCCTGAGGAGGAGGCACCCGAGGCCAGTGCAACCCCCAGAGAAGCAAGTTCTAGCAAGGATGCTGCCCTGTGGCCCTGTGAGAAATGTGGCAAGATGTTCACGGTGCACAAGCAGCTGGAGCGGCACCAGGAGCTCTTATGTTCCGTGAAACCGTTCATCTGTCATGTTTGCAACAAAGCTTTCCGCACCAATTTCCGGCTCTGGAGTCACTTCCAGTCCCACATGTCTCAGGCTGCAGAGGACTCTGCTCGGAAGGAATCAGAAGTGTGCCCTGTTCCCACAAACTCTCCGTCGCCACCACCTCTGCCCCCGCCCCCGCCGCTGCCCAAGATCCAGCCCCTGGAGCCCGACAGCCCGACTGGTGTGTCTGAAAACCTGGCTCCCGCCGCGGAGAAATTGTTTGTGCCCCAGGAGTCAGACACCCTTTTCTACCACGCCCCTCCCCTTTCCGCAATCACATTTAAGAGACAGTTCATGTGTAAACTCTGCCATAGGACATTTAAGACGGCGTTTAGTCTTTGGAGTCACGAGCAAACCCACAATTAAAAGACCACCCCTCTCCACCTGTATTGAAATGGGAGACGGTCTCCAGATTTCGACCTAAATTGTGAAATGTGTCGTAAGAAACAATATTTTTTAACAGTAATAAAGGGTGAAAATTGTCATGCTTGAATGTAAGCTTGAGATAACTGATGTTAATTAGTATGTCCTTATTCAACTTAGAAAAACTAAAAAATATTGTGCTTCTCTGGACCTTACAGTCACAGGATGACTCGACTTCATTCCCCTTGAAATTTGGTTGACCTTGGTGGTCTGCATGGTTCCTCACCCCATGGTGGCAGTATGATCTTTTACTTGAGGTTGTTTTGTTGTTTTTTTTGCTAATTTTTCAATTAGCGAAATGCTATTAAAGTATTTCTTCTTTTGATTGTATCAGACACCCACGTTCTAGTCAAATCTTAGCCATGTTCTTAAATCCAAAATGTATCAGGAAGAAGTGGAGTAGTTTGCAGTATTGATTTAGAGTTTAGAATATTTTAGCAATAAAAAAATGACGAACCTCAACTTTCAACTTTCATAAGTTATCCTGACACTTGAGAAAAATAAATATTTGGTATTTTGTGGTCATGTAGAACTTTTTTTTGTATGAAAATGTGAGAAATTTAAATCAGCAATAGTAATACTTAGGTTTTTTATAAAATAACAAAAACTTGCTCTTGGGTCATTTAATGTAATTAATAATGGAAGACTTGGGAAGTGGAAATACTACAATTTCTGCAAGACCTCTAAGTCAGTTTACAAAAGCTTCAGTAGTTTTAGGCATTGTAATCAAAATGGTTGCATTATGCTCTCTGCGTACATTACAGTTTTAAATTCAGACCAGCATGGAAGGACTGAACGTTTGGTTTCCTCTGACTTAAGCTGTCACCAATACAGTCTGAGTATATTTGAGACAGAAAACAAAGATAACATGTGGCATTAACTTTGAATTTAACAGCGTTCGTATCACAGAGAAGGTCAGGACAGATATTTACACAGATCTCAAGCCCCAGAGTCAGTACAGCCACTTTAAATTCTGAATTACCATTGATTTCTAGAGATTTTAAGCTGAGGGAGAAACACCACAGTGCAGTCTCCATGTTCTTTTCAAAAACTATCTTACATATAGTATGCGTTTCCTGCCTGTGTCTGGTGGTGAGTTCTGTTAGAATTTGTTGGGGTTACTGCGGTAAAACGTCCGTAGTGACATCATTCTGCTTTAAGTCACTGCCTCATATTTCATAAATGTATTAAAGTACCATTAAGAGTCCTGAATTAGTTCTGCTACTTTTTTTTGGCCCATAGTGTTTTGGCTGCCTTTTTTTTTTTTTTTTTTTCTATTTTGAAGAAGTTGTAATTAAAAGCCTTTCAGTAGGTGTTATCCAAATCTCAGTGGGGTGTTTCAAAAGGGAAAATGTTTATTTCACTTGTTAAGGGGAGGTTAGGTACATAAAAACAGAAATATTACTGAAACTACAAGATCCTTTTAAGGTAGGTAATAATGGATTAATATTCCAATCTGTTTTTTTTTTTACAAGCTGTTCTTTTAAATAGAAACATCAACTACTGTGACTAAGAAATAATTTGTTGAGTGCTTAAAGTTGTGCTCTAGCAGAAAAGAACTGGGAACTCAGCCGTCTTATCACCCACATTCCATACTGACAGTAGGAGAGATACTCTATGGAAAAACAAACATTTTTATAAAGTACTAATTGACTTTTTACATTATAGAAATACATATGAAATTTTGCCTTTTATTCTCTTATTTAAGAACTATCAAGAGTCCCAAAATATTTGAGTGATTACCTGCTGTTTTGGTTCTTAAATTTGATGAGAAAGGAAAATAAGTTGCAGTTACCGATTTTTGCCATCTTCATTTTTTCTTGAAGAAATCTATGCATTTTGAAAACAAAACTACAGCATACGATTTTATGTGAAACAGGATGGATTATTGTTCATTGAATTTATTCCTGTGTAATGAATTACTCTGAACACCTTGGTGTCTGTCACTTCCTCAAAATAAGACAGTTCCCCTCAGAGTAATCATTTAACAGCGGTTAGAGTATCTGTAAAAATTCCATGATACACTGTATCTTGGCATTGTAAATTCACTATCCCTGGGCTTGAACCTTTATGCTACATTTCTGAAGGGTTTTTTTTTATAATGTTAATCAGTAAATATTTTTGACCTAAATATAGTCTCTGCATATCTGTTAGATTTTAAAACTTGCCCATGTTTTGTCTTGTTAGCTCACATTTTTGTCTAGGCAAGGAACATAAGATTTCAATAAAATTTTGAACCAAAAACATTTATAATGCAGTTCTGATTTTTCTATTAATTTTTATACTGTATCTTACAAGCATTAGGCTGAAAGAGTTTATTTTGATGGTCAAAAAAATAAAGTATGCTTCCACTCATAACTATTTTCAGTGTTCAATGTTAAGTAAAATAATGAGAGACATGCAAATTGCTTTATTCAATAAATAGTTTTCTTAAGAATGTTTATTGAAGCCAGTAGGCAAATACTTGGTGTAAGACAAATTGAAACTCTTTAAATCTTTAAAATGTTTTTTTCTGATTGTAAGTAATTTTTTGAAAATGTAGAAAGTTAATTATCTTTGTAAGTATTCAGGATGCCTACTTTTTTTGCAGTTGTGGAAAGAATGTAAGATGTTTTAATATATTTGTTAATCTAAGAGCTTGTTACTGAATCACTTTCTTTGAGCAAGGGAGACACCGTAAACGCGTTTTTATCAAGAGTAAGCAATGGAGGTAACTGCATTTTTTCTATAATAATATTTCAAAATGAATAGAATATTCACCCATAAAGCTAGTTGTGGTTAGTATGCATTTAATTTTATCAAGATATACAACTAACAGTTGAGCTGTGATGTTACTTGGATTTGTGTGGAGATGTGCGTGGTTCTTGGTTTTCTTTTTGGGGATGGATTGTTACAGCCTTCTCTTCCTAAAAACAGGCCCCAGTACCCTGTACTAAATCGGTGATGATCTGACCCACACCCAGCACCCATTGGTGCTAATGAGAGTAGAAGCTGAGACAAGAATAAAATGTGCCCATTCGTGGAGGCAGGGAGTGTCCCCAGCCACTTGGACAGTCAGGGTGAGGAAGAGACAAGAATGAACTGATCTAAAGGCAGCCTTAGTTGCCTCAAATTGTGTGTGTGTGTGTGTGTGTGTGATGAAACCATGATCTAGAACGTTAGGAAGTAATTTGAATTTTCTTAGTACAAAAATAATTAGTTGTCATGTGTAACAGGTTTCTTCATAAATTGCACTAACTGATACTGGAATATTACAAGTTAGTATCAGCTTCTGGTATCTCACTGATGCTTTTTGCAGTAATTGTGAAAAGCATTATTGATTTAAATAATGCTGACAACTTCCTTTAACACTGGCTTTTTTATTTTAAAAATAGGGTTTTCTCTTGTGGCTTTAGCACTTTAAGAAGTTTGATGTTTGCCTAATTTGTAATATGCTTGTTAAGTGTTTTTTGGCATTTTATCCAGCACACAGCACTTCCACATGGCTGGGGAGAAAACCGAATGGTCAGGGTTTAGATTCTGGAGGAGAAAAAATGAGTTAATGCCGGGTCTTAAAAATCCTCCCTTCAGTCGTGCAGGAACCAAAGTATTCTGCAAATCTTCACAGTAATTGAGTTCCGTGCTCTTCAGTCATTTACTAGTGCTGTCCAGATTTTCCACAGTTATCCTTGGTTAATACTAATTTTCAAAAGGTGACATTAATGCAACACTTTTCAAAATTTTCATTGAATACTTACTGTTAAAAGAAAAACAAACGTGGTTTTATAACTATTTTGTTGTCATATGCCTTAGAGTAAATCATTGTTCAATTTTATTTAGGAGTAAGCTTGTGGGGGCTGAAATTTCATGTAAAATAGAATTTCTATATAATGTTAATCCATTGCTTATTTGTATGCAGGCATTATCTGTTCATTTGGCTTAAATCTTGACTAAGAATGATTGGAGTCAATAAATTTGTACTGTATTTTGTTTTGAGTCACAGTCTCATTGGTATGTCTGGACTTTTGTGATAATGCTCTGTAGCACTTCAGCTTGTGAAGGCAGAGACCAAGCCCTCCCTCCGGGTTGATACAAACGACCACTTAGGAGTTGTGAGAGAACTAATCTTCTCTAGCAGCTGCAAGTTACCTGGACGCCGCAAATACATGATAAATAAAACAACATAAGCAGTGGTCTTTGCCTACCCACCATTTTGTTTACTGTTCAGATTAGTAGTTTTTTAAATGATGTTGGGGGTAAATGCATAAAAAAGTTTCTAAGCACCTTGCACTGTCATTTTGGCACAGTAATTGGTCAGCTAGTTTTACTTCATAATGTTAACAGGCTTCCAGGTTATAGCAGCTCATTTTCAGGTGGCCCTTCAGTAATACCTGGCTTTCCCAGTTAAGAGCTGAGCTGTAGGTGTTTTAGATTAACACCACCAAGTCGACTGTGGACCCAGAGAAGGAAAGGAGAGACGGACTGGGCCAGTGCGTGCTGCTTCACCCCACCTGGGAACTGCACGTAGTGCTTCCAGGGGGTTTGTTTCCCTTGCCTGAGCCTAAATTTGTCTCTCTTGGGAGCCCCTGGCTAGCAGTTTCTTGAACACACTGCACCAGGAATAAACCATGTAATTTTTTTTCTAACCTGTTTGAGCCTTGTATCCAATTTGCCACCAAGTATTGTTTTAAAAACTGATTTGCCCTTCTCAGTAACAACAGGATTCTCATCTGTAACTTCCTATTTATTATTACACATTACAATGCAGTCAGTCCTCTTGCTTCCTCCTTGGCCTCAGGGCCACACTCAAGACCTGTGGCGGGCCAGACTGTCTCCACTGTGTAAGATGCTTCCCCAGCCAGGGGCTAAGTCTTGGCTCTGTTGAGAAAGAACTCTGCGGACTGGAAGTTGAAGAGCAGGGGTTACACAGAGCTATGCCTGGGGCAGAAGATTCCCTGTTGTGATACAAACACTTCAAAGCCTGGTGCCAGCCCTGTGGTAGCATAAATTTGGATATCTTACGATGGGCCCTCGCCGGCCCCTGTTCCCCACAGTACTGTCCCTTGGTCAATTCGTTGACCTCACAGTAACGCAAACCTCATTTTGCCCAGCTGAATGTCTCAGATCCCATGTAATTGGCATGATTTCTGGCCCCTGTGCACCCGCTCCTCACCCCAGCCAGAGTAGCCATCCCTCCTCGAGTGTTCCCACCAGATCCTGGCGGGGTTTCCCTTGTGTGGTCTATACAACAAGAATGGGTGGAGGCTGGCAGAGCAGGGAAGCTATTCCTGTTTGTTTCCAGGGCTGGGCAAAGGGAAACGGCCTAGTAGGTACCTGATAGACACAGCAAAGAAATTTTTTTCAAGGCCATTTATTTTCAGCTAATATTAGAAGGAAACTTCCTGAACACCTCAGCATCTATCCCCCAGAAGTTGATTCAGCCAGTTAGAGACTCGGAGTGTATTTTAATTTGTGTGTGGTTCTCAGGAAGCTCAAGGAGGAATGGAAATATCCAAATGCCTGGTGTCAGACTGCCAAGTCCCTTGGCCTTGACAAATGCACTCGCTCTGGCATAGCCATCCTGGGCCTGCAGTGCGCTGAGTGTCTCACTTCTAAAGTGCCCAGTAGGTCACGCCCATGTGGAGAGGTGTCTGGATAAACTCACCAGTAAACCTAAGAGGAGCACTGGTGAATTCGTGGCCAGTACTATGTTGTAGTGGTGAATACACTGAGTGCCGGCTGCAGCGGGAAGCAGGCACAGGTATGTGCTAATGTAAAATAGGAGCAGGCTGTCCCCTCACCTCTTCCCCATTCCCAGATACTGCAGCACTCAGCCCCCTCCATGTGGAATATTCCTCAAGTCTCCCTTTGATTTTAATACTCCTGATAATTTTGAAGATTATGGACATCTTATAGAGTGTCCCTTAACTGGAGTTTGCCCAGTGTTTACTCCTGATCAGATCCAAATTACATATTTTTGTACACAAGTATCACAGAGGCTGTGTTCTTCTCATTTCATTCTATGGGTGGCATGGGACACCTGTTGGTCCTGTTCCCGATGGAATTCATTTTAATCATTGGATCATTTCTGCCATGTTTCATCATTCTGCTTTTCCCCACTTTGTAGTTAGTATTTTGTGGGGAGATATTTTGAGCCTATGTAAAAACCCATTCCCCATCTCAATTTTACCCACTAATTTTTAGCATCTGTTGCTGTTTGCGTCCTGAACTTATTTTTATAGTCATTGCAAAATGGACATTTTCCCATACCTTAATCCCATTTTCATTTATTTGTGGGCGAGACTGCAGGAAAAATGTACTGTTGTTCTCACTTACTCACTTACATGTGTGTGTGTTGTGGTCTCCCAAAGATTGGTCCAATGGATTATAATCAGTTGCTATCATGTTTTAAGTTTTGATGCTGAAATTATCCTAGATTTAGCCAGTGGGAGCTTCAAACTGGCTTCTCTGACCTTTGACATGTCCCCTTTATTCTTCTGACTATTTTCTTACTGTCTCACACAGAATTTCCCAACTCACCATGTTCTTTCCGGGACGGAGCCCTGAAATCAACCCTCTCTCTTAAGGAATCTGATTCCTTTTAGTGGAGAATATTGTGTGGACAACCAAGATCTGGGCATGAAGTGGGCTCACTTATACTAGGGTGTGGATACTCCCAGGCCCTCAGTGCACAGACTTAAAGGGAAAGAAATACACACATGCACATCTGGATTTATTTCTGAATCTTCTAGATCTATCTATACATGTGGAAATCTGTGAGTCCACACCGAGAGCTTCAGTTCCAATCCAACACCCTGTGGTTCATTTCATGGCTCCCCCTTCCCATGTTCATGCTTTCCCTCTGACAGTGAGGGACCAGGCTCCCAGGATGCCATTGACCCTGTGTAACCAATCTCCAACCCCTCAGGCTGACTGCCCACTTCATGTGGATCTACCTAATGGCTTTTCAACAAAGGAAGAAAGGAAAGCAGATAGGAGGTGGGGCAGGAGGGAGGGAGGGAAGGAGGGAGGCAGGAGACTGTCTCTTTTCCTCTCAGTTCTCTCAGTTTTTTGCTTCATGTGGTTTGACACTCTGATATTAGATGCATAAATATACAGGATTGATTAATTGACCCCTTTATCATTTTTAAAATGACATTTATCTACTGTGAAACCTACATTGTGTTAATATAACTACTCAAGCTTTCTTTTGACTAGTTTTAGCATGGTATTGTTTTTAAATCCTTTACTTATAACCTACTTGTGCCATTATATTTAAAGTGTCCCACAATACATTGTTGTTATTTTTACTTCAAATAGTCAACTAAAACTTTAAAGACATTTAATTAATAGGAAACAAAGTCTTTATATTTTCCCATTTAAGTTTTCATTTCTGGTGCTCTTCATTTCACCTAGAGATACAAAATTCCATATGGTATCATTATCCTTCTGCCTGAAGGACATTAACATTAATATTTCTTATACTATAACTCTACTAGTGCTATTCTTTCAGCATGTGTATATGTCTAAAAAAGTGTTTTGCCAATTTTGAAAAATAGTTTTGCTGGGTATCAAATTCTGGCTAGCTTTTTTCTTGCAGTACTTCGAAATGTTGCTTCATTGTTTCCAGCTCAAACTGTTTGCAAGAGAAATCTGCTGTCCTTATCTTTGTTCCTCTATATGTAATGTATCATTTTCATTCTGTCTGCTTTAAAATTTTTCTCTTTTACCACTTTTATGCCATCTGATTATGATGTACCATGGTGTAGTTTTTATGGTGTGTGTGTGTGCATGTGTGCACACATGCATGTCTGTGCACACATGCATGCCCATGCACACCTGGATTCATTTAATTTCTTGGATGTTTCATTTTTTTATCAGATTTGAAAATTTTTCAGTCATTATTTCTTTAAATTTTTTTCTTTCCTGCCCTCTCTTTCAAGGACTTCAATCACACATTTATTAGGACATTTGAAATTGTCTTAGAGATCACTATTGCTCCATTAAAATTTTCCCTTTTTTTCTCTCTGGGTTTCATTGTGGGTAGTTTCTATTGCTATGCTTCTAATTCACTAATTTTTTCTTTTCTGTAAAGTCTGATCTGCCATTAACCAGCTGGTGTAGTTTTCATCTCTAGAAGTTTAGTTTGGATCTTATTTATAATATCTTCTATGTCTATACTTAACATGTTTGATCTTGCCTCTAGCTTCTTGAACATATGGAATATAGTTATAACAACTTTTTTAAATGTCTTTGTATATTAATTCTATCGGCTGTTCTATTTCTGGGTTGCCTTCAATGATTCCTTTTCCTCCTCATTCCCAGTAACATTTTTCTCCCTCCTGGCACATCTGGTAATTTTTGGTTGGATGACAGACAGTGAATCTTATCTTGTTGGGTACTGGGTGTTTTTGTATTTCTATAATTGTTCTGGAGCTTTGTTTGAGGGGCACAATTAACTTACTTGGAAACAATTCTGTTCTTTCAGATTTTGCTTTTAAACTGTGTTAAGTGAAATCAGATCAGTAGGGCTAGTAATGCTGCTCCACCACTGAGGCAAGCACACTCTTACCCAATGTCCCATGACTTATTTCAAGCACTGCGAGCTCTAGGCATTGTTCCCTCTAATCCTTTCAGGTGTCCTTCTCCTGGCCTCAGGACGTCTCCTCACATATGTGTGTGGGTCGGTACTCAGCTGAAGAGCCCAGGGGCCTCTCTCGCTGCAAACTTGCCCTCAGGGCCTTGGCCGCCTTGTCTTCCCTGGCCTCCCAGCTCCAGCTGCTCAAGCAGGCTGTCCACTGGCCACCTCACTGCTTTCTCCTTTCTTGGTGGCCAGTGTTCTTTGGTGTCTGATGTTCAATATTTTGAAAATCATTTTTTTATATATTTTGTCTGGAATATAGTTGTTTCATGCAGTATAGTAAATCCAGCCTCTATTATTTCATGTTGGTCAGAAATGGAACTGAAACTTGTTATTTAGTTGTCAATTGGCTAGC